TGGTTAGCCGTTTGTCAGTTTTAACATATAAAAATATAAGCAGGAGCAATCAGTAACAAGCATATCTGTTACCCATTTGTTACTTCTAGCAAATTCAATTCTTTTACATAAAATTCAGTTTTTTACTATTTCGCTTTATTTAATAATAAAATCAAAATACATATCTACAACTTAGAACTAATATTTATAATTAATGTATAAGTAATAATAAGAAAACGTATATTAGTTTTGCCTTAAGTATATTTTTTTTTTTTTGTTTCTTGTTTTTTTGTTTTTTTGGTTAAAACGATTGTGGCTTAAGGCCACAAATCTCTGGAGCTCCCCACAGATAGTGTTTTTATTCTTGTCAGCAAATATATCTGAAATTACACGTTATAAGCTAAAGCATGAAAATATATATCAGTAAAAAAAAACTACCAAAACCAAACCCTACGCATTTTAGCTTTAGTATGGATTCCCTTTTCTTGCGCCCCTCTAAATTGTAGTGGTACATTAGATCGTCTGAAAACATACCACGCAGTACGCCGTCCACACCGCCTTTTGCGTTCTTTGACTTCAATATTAGCCGCAACTTCTTTAAAGAAAAAAAAAAAATTACCGTAAATTATATTACAATCGCGTARTTTGTAAAACCGAAATATTTAACATAACATTCTTTTGTGAAAGTTTGTCTTCCACGAGGCGCACCTGCTCTTCCGATGACATGGGCAGTTTCGAAGCGAGCTCCACGTAGTACTCGTCCTCCAGGTCATCGGTCTGTGCCTGTACCTCGTCATTTTCTGGCATCTAGAAAATTAAAATATAAAAATTAGCTTATGTTTTAATTTGATGATGTAATACTACGTTACTTACTTTSTATGTTAGGAACTTTTCAATGGCAGTGAGACGGGTCTCAATATATGAAATAGTGAAATATTTTGTRCGAATGGATTATTTCGAAATCAACACTTTAAACAAGAAGAATGAATAAGAYTTTGCATTGCTCCACATGTGTAAGCAAAGTTGAGGTAAGAATGCTAGCATTTTCTTAAAAAAAAATGCCTGTCTTTGTAGACGAAAGTT